CCTTGCGTCCCGTCCCCCCCTCTGCAATGATCAAACGTTATATAGGCAGGGTACAGAATTACAAATGAGTGTCCTGTGGCAAGAGCTGGAACTAGATTCAACTACTTTCTTTGCTCTGCTCTCTCCTCAGGTAGCCACGAGGGGCACACTTCATCCTCCAACCCCTGCTGTCCAGACAGGATCTGATACCAGTGCTTGCATCTTCCTTGTTAACCTCGCAATAATAATGTGTTACAAAATCTCCCACTTGCAGACAGATGTACTGTGTGTGCATTGCCCTTGGGCTTTTGCAGTATGGATAAAATCTGATAATGCAGCCAATTAAAACAGTGTTATTTTTCCACAATGCCTGCTATATTCTGACACGCCCACAGACAATAAAGGACCAAATACTAAAAACTCTGATGGACGACAACTGCGTAACCCTAACCCTGCCATGTCATTGATTTTTTTTGCCTCGGTTACTTTCTTTCTTGTTTACAGGACAGGTAGTCTCTTAAAAGCTTAATGATTAACAGGCACATGTTTAATTTGAGATACAGACTGGTCTGAGGATTCAGCGTGCACTTTCTCTCACGAGTCACTCAGATAAAGAAAATCAGACGGGGGAGAACTCGCTGTCAACCCGACCAGTGCATCTAAGATCCTACGAGATCGATGTGAGGGAGGCAGAAAGATGTCGAGTGAGAGCAGGAGCTACCAGCTAAGGAGTTGATACTAACAGCTGGCAGCCTACCCACCTAAAAAGGGATGACTGAGTCTAGTCTGGAGAATCAAGCAAGAAAGCCAGGATGAAAGGAGAAGTGCGAGAGATGGAGTCACTAATAAAAGATGGGTGGGTGATGGTAGATGAGTGGATGCGGGACAGGTTGGGGAGGGGGGATTTTGAAACAAGCTGTCACATGAGAAAGAAAGAAAGGGAAACAGAAAAAAGTAAGACAGAGGAATCTAGACTGGAGGAGGAGAGAGGAAAGAAGGAGGCAGCCACATTGCACACTTCAGGCTGTGAATAATTTAGAGGAGCACTGGGGAGACGAGACGAAGATGAACACAAAACACTGGCAGCGTTTGACCTAGAGCTCCGCTACATCAGTGCACATCACAGAGCGGAGAGCTCTCTCTTCCTCCCTCCCTCCCTCTTTCTCTTTTCCCCTCTTTTGCTCTTCATCTGCCTCCCTCTGTGTCAGGGAGGAAACAGCTGTACACTATTCTTGTTTCGCCTCACATTCTATGAAAGTCAACAGAATGGCTGACAACTCAGTTTCATAAGGATCTCTCTCTCTCCCTACTTGCTCTGGGCATGTCAGAAGAGTCAGAAGAGCCTTGCATATAAAGGATGGATGTGCATCCAGGCTATACGTAGCTGGATCTGTCTGCAGATGCCCCTGGCATACAAAGGAGTAATGATGCTATTACATTTGCACAGATTTGTGGGACAAAAGCTGCAGTTTTAGCCACCTCACTGCCCAAATGTTTTGTTGCAATTTTGTAATTTATGTTGTTTTGTGCTTTACATGTGCTAAAACTGTTATTTAGTAGTAATAATTTACTAATCTTTAACTCTCGCCATTTTAAATGGGATGATTTTGGTCTAATATCTTTGTTAATTGGACATTTTTGGGGTTAACAAGTGATCAAATTATAATTTAGAGAACTAGGAGAATGTGCTGTCTAAAGTTGGCAGAACGAGAAAGTAAGAATCGGCTGATTAGTCGTGTACTTTCAGCTATGAAAATATATGAATGCATGAATTGCGCTTGGCAGATTTTCGCTATAACAGGAAACTAAATAAAAAGCTGTGAATCTCAAAACTCCAACATGAATTTTCTGTTCATTACTGTTGTTTTAAATACATTTCTAACTGTCATTACATAAACACAATCTGTGTCGGGATCAGCGCTGCGAGGAACAAGGACCGGAAACTCATCTTAAGCCAGCAGTAAATAACAGCTTCAAGATTGGAGGTTAAAAAGAGATTTCTAACGCCACCTTTGTCGAGGTGCCATACATCACCTCATCTGCTAATGTGTGTGTCTGTGTGTGTCTGTGTGTGTGTATGATGAAAGGAACACTGGGCATCTGCGGTGGGAGTGGCCGTTGGGCGGACAGAGGGTGATGTGATCAACCCAAAAGGGAGGGGCAATTTATTACTGTAATTAAGGAGCAGTGAGATTAGAGAGGCTGGGTTTGAACATGCATATTTATATATACATATAATACATGTCTTCATTTGAAAAAAAAAAAAAAGATAACATGAGATGAGCAAAAACAAAAGGTCTAAAGATGGCAACCAAATAAAACAGGAACTAAATCGGTTCCCTCTGCTTATTTTCTCCCTCCCTCCCTCCCTCCTATGCCCTCTCACTCCCTCTCTCACTGTCTCTTGCTCAGTCTGTGTGTTTGATATTAATGGGACGTCCCTTGTTTGTAAATGTGCCAAGTTGTGTGCACCACTGCAGGCTGTCTATTATAGCAGGCCTCTGGGGCAGCTATTCCATATGGCGTCACATATGGTACTCAGCAGCATCAATTAATGTTGTTATAATACTGATTTTTATGAGCCGGGGTTTAAATCCTTTCCTATTTTTTCCCTAACCCACGCTCCCCTTGTGTTCTCTTCCTAGCATCGCTGTTTCTTTCATTTGTCAAACTGCTTCTCTGCCATACCTCAAACCTTTGACAATCTGACTTCTGAAGACTATCGAGAATACGAAAAGTTTTCTATGCCAAATAAGCTCCTACCAGCTCTGCTGAATGCTGCTCAAAGACCTTGAACACGTCTTTGTTCCTTCTGTGCTGCAGAACTAAACTATTGCCAATGTGTCAGTATCGTCTTTGAAGCTCAGAATTCGATCAGTAATAACACGGAAAACATGAAAGCTACAAAAACAAGGATTAGACAGGAATTACAGTGTGAAAACCAACTTACATTTGCATCTGTAACCAGACAACGCATTTACAGGAAATAATGTAGTTTTGGTCACATTAAACTAGCATCAGGGACTATTAATGTGTTAAATTAGGTCTGTATTTATGCACAAAGCGATAGGCAGATGAATGTAAGAGCAGAATCTGAGGGGCCCTTTTGTTTCCTGGTGCCTTTGGTGGCGGATCTGACAGGAAGGGAACAAGAGCGTAGCAAAAAGCCTCGCTTAAAAAGCTCCCAGCCACACCAGCCTTGTCAGCGACGCCACAATTAGAGGCTAGATCACTGGCGCTTCCCAGCCAGAAACATCTCACTACCACTCCTCAATGGAGCTCTTTCGTTTGAGGAACACACTCAAAGCAGGATTTTAAAACGGTTCGGATGGCTAATCACTCTCAGGATGAAAGGCCCTGGCGTGTTCGTTTGTCTCAGCATGGGGAGCTTCCCTTGCCGTTTCTCTGTCTCTGATTCTGATTGTTTTTGTTCATTTCTTTTGCAGCAGGCAGGCGAGGCAGGCGAGCTGGCAGGCAGCGCTGTTTGAAGGTGCAGTCAGACCCAAGTGCAGGCCTGATGCTTTGTAGTGATATTTCCAGCAGCACAATCTCATTACTTTTTGACGTGGCAGATGCATGCAGGGGCGGATTGTCATTTCACGCTGTCAAAAGTTCCATGAGGAAACGGAGACAGGAATGGAACTTCAATGACCTGCATGCCTTTGGCTCATCAAGACTGAATATATTAAACCAAATAAGACAGATGAAGCCCCATGAACCAGATACTTAAAGATGCTTTGTAAACTTAATGTCCACTCCCAGGAGTCTTGAGGGAATCGCTTTCCTGATCTATATCTTTGTAATCAGAACTGTTTCAAAGCCTCGCAAAACCTGTTACTGTGCATTTGAGGAAGCCTAATTAAATACTGTGTACAGAACTGCACAAACACTCAGCTACATATGTATATGTGCCGCCTAAGACAAACAGTGCTTTGTGTCTTAAAAGGAAAACTCCTGAGGGCTGCATTCCACACCTCGCAGAAAAGTTTTCACATGGGACAATCACTGGCATCTCCCCTTTAAAAAGAAACGGAGGATGTCCCTTGGAGTTGATTTCACACGGACTTCTTTCAGAACAGAAGGAAAACTCGCGCTGTTCAAGAAGCTGCCAGGCGCTGATTGAAGCGCCTGGTTACCATGCAGACCTCGGCCTGTTGCTGGGGTGACTGTCCCAAAGTGCTTTCCTGGGTAATTTTCGAGGTCACTGGTTTGAGCACGCCTATGTGGTGCAGATGGGCCCACCCACATTCAAGACCCAGCAGGAGCTCTTTCATTAGGCCCAGTGAATGGCCTCATTCATCCCCTTCACCTCAATTGGTCACGCTGCATCTCTCCAGAGGGCCCAGGACAAACTTTTCTCTCATTCCACTTGCTGATCTTCCACGCACCACCCACCTTAGTCATGCTTCACTTTTGTTCAGGAGCATGTGGTGGCAGGCCTCATCTTTGGCCTCAAACTACCTTAGATGGAGTGAAGGTGGTATATAACTGACATTACTAAGTTTATCCTACAGAATGGCTCAGAAAAGCCCAGACGGATGCTACCGATAGAGATTACTGTGGATCAGAGACATTTTTAAGGTGCAGGTCTTTGTACAGATCTTCATGACTTATCCCGGAACCATGTTCCTTTAATTTAATTCTTTCTCAGTGCTGAAACAAATGCTGCAGCAGGCTCAATTTATCTCTAACTTGCTGCCCTTTCCACTGAATGCAGCTGCAGTGCTTCGCCATAGTAGAGGGTCCTCTATGCCCTGTCTCTTTTTGACCATCAAGTGAGTCTCAGGTCTAGCCTAGCGAGAAGTGACTAATTGTCTTGAGTTGTTAGTGTGCCTGGAATGAGATACACTTCACTTGGTGACAGGATGCACAATAATTTGGTTTCTCCCTTCCTCCCCTCCCTCTCTTTCTCCTTCTTGCAGCAGATTTAGCCCCCCCTGCTTCTCAAGCTACTGAGCTGTAAAATTGAATGGACAGCAGGCAGTATACAGAATGAGACCTGGCATCATGGACGCACTAACCTTGAGGAGGGCCACTGCTGCATGCTGCACCTAAAGAGATGGAGACAGAGCGTCAGCCATGTTGGACTGAGAAAGGTTAAAATGAGGAGGGAGGAAAGGCCAAATGCAGAGAGAAAGGTGGACCTGTGCTAAAGCAACAACACAACAGCTTAGCAAAGCAGGTCTTCATCGGCATGAGGATGGATATACACTCAGAAAGACACCAGTGACTCAACCACAGAAAGACACACATTTTATGAAAACAGTTCATCTTCAAAAGCGCGTTCCCCAGCAGTTTTAACAAAAACTCGTCCTGGTAATGAAATCAACTTGTAGCTACTCTTGGAACAAATCTGAGCAATCAATTAATATGAATCACAAATTCACTGGCTGTGGCTTAGATGTGAACAAATGGAGCCCCAGTCCCTTACAGATGATATTAGTGCTCTGAGCTGCTCTCTCCACGAGAGATTAAGCAGGTTTGTACTCTCCCTGGCGGGCAGCACTCCCCCCTCCAGGGTGCTGCACTATCATTTGCAGGAAAATTACTTCAGTAATGAAGAATCCAGGCCCATAAATCCTCATGGCCTCACCTTCCTTCGCCGCCCAAGTCTTGCTGAACAGCTAGTAAAAATTCCCTTTAAAAAATTCATAGTGCAATTTTGCTCAAATCCCTCCCAGCAAGCACAATTATGGAACTTTCATCTCAATTGATTTATGTCCTGGGCGAAGGGGGGGGGGGGTAGAACTCGGTGTAGGCTGGGGAAGAGGGTCTGGTTGGAGGGTGGGAAGTGGTAAATCACTGTTTTTAAAAGGGAAGGTGTACGGCCTTTTGTCAATTTCAGTGCATGCGTGCTGTGCAGGTGACAGAGAAGCGTATGAATAAGGGGAGGAGGAAGAGGGAAGAGAACATCTGACGGGTCTGAACGCAGAAGTGAAATGGCAAAAAGGAGGGGGCTGCGGCTGGGAGTGGGGGCGGTTAGTGAGATGGGGGCGAAAGGAGCGGTATTCCACTTGATTAATAACACTAATCAAATTATACAGTGTTCCACTGTGCCCTGAAATCTGGGGCCATAATGTCCTCTAATGGTGAGGTTCATGGAGCTAAACTTCAGAGGGAAAACACAGCGCTGACTGCTGCATGCCTTAATGAAGGCAGTAAAACATCCATTTCCAGAAGCCATGAAATGAAAGGCAAGATTGTAGATGTGCACCCAGTGGCTCCCCCACTGCAAAAAAAGAGAAGGCTGTTAACACAAAAGACGGTGCTGAGGCGAGTGAGACAGACAGACAGACAGCAAGAAAGAAGGAGAGCTGCAAGGCCTTAAAAAGAGAAATGACAAGATAATCATATAAATGAAGACATTTAAAGGGCAAGAGCACCAAGAGTAAGCGGGTATATATAAAGTAAAGGGATGATGAAGTGAGGATAAAAAGACAGATTGGTAGATACTCTTTGTGCGTTCTCTTCTGGCATGAAGACAATCATCTGGGTCTGCTGATTATGGATGAGCCAGGCTGCTTTACTATGTCTGTTATACTTAGTGCTGCTGACAGCGACCACAATTCATCACTATTTAGTTGCTGATGCACCTAACCACAGCATCCTCCCTCTCATCTATCTCACTACTACTCCATTAGAGAATCCCTCCGTCCACCCAGGCATGTATTGTGTTGATCCACCTATCCATCTGAATGTCCAGTCGTCCATCCATCCATGGGTACATTTGTCTACTCATTCAACCTGCCATTCATCTGTATGTCCATTCATGCTTTCTTTCATTCATTCACCCCTCCACCCATTATCCATCCATCCATCTATCCATTCATCTTCTTCGTCATTTGTCTGCTGACGATCCAGTCATCTGTCAATCCATCCAGTCTGGGTCAATAGAACGAGCTCAGCGTCAGTTAGTTGCTCCAGACAAAAGTCGACTTCTCATTTCTTGGCATTATGCAGCACTAAGCCAGCAGATCTCCGCTGGCAGTTCCACACTTGTATATCTGACATTAATATCTAAGCAGAAATCACTAGGCACTGTGTGGGTGTGAAGTCCAGCAGAAAATTCCTGCTGCATTATAACAAAGTGAAACTCAAACACACTTAGATTTATACAAAAGCATTATGTTTTGCATTTAATCTACTAAATTGCGCATGCTACCAACAATCAAATCAGGCTTTGCATCTTGAGTAAAGTAAACACTGCTCGTTGTCCTTGGGGCAAAAAAATCATCTGGAGAGCAAGGGGGGAAAAAAACAACAAAGATGAGAAAACACAGATTGCTATTGTTATTATTATCATAATTACAGCTGTGCTTATCATGCGAGCAGCCTCAATCAGGATGAAATACAGTTTCATTTGATGAAGCTTCCTGTTTTGACTGGCTTGAGTTTGGGAGCCACACACTTGGCTGGCGTGCCAAAAACTCAATCAGGCGCAATTACATAGCCATCAGATAGAAATGTAATTGATTTGAAGGCTGACATGAGATATAACTACATTACAGTGGAGGCACAGTGGGGAGGATCCTTGGGGACAGGGCCTACGGGGAGCTCATTACCACCAAGCTTTGAATTATTGAGTGCTAAGGCAGTGACATTGAGGAATAGAGGCGGGCGATTGGCTGTAACAGCTCGACAAGTGTTTATCTCAACTTAGAGCAACCTAAGTTGTCAGTCCATGTAAGAATATTGCAAAGGAAGAAGTTGCAATGGTTTGGAGTTAATGAGAGCATATCACGTGACGTCTGCTATTTCCATTCTGAGTATTTGTAACGAGTACAAGAAAAGGCACAAATACACTGTAAAGTCGTGTTTGGGCGTCACTTCTATACTAGTAACATGTGTTGGGTCACATATTTGGTGCTTTATGCACTTTTTATTTTGTGGAAACACTGCATATCATTTTCAATGTTGGCTTAGGATGTTACCTTTTAAAATTTACATTCACTTATGCTACAGCAGATTTTTCTCATTTGGTTTCTGTTTCTGTTAATGTGGTTGTTTGTGAGCTTGCTATGTTCAGTTCCCCATTCGCCCTGCAGGTGGTATTTATCCTTCAAGCTCAGGTCCTCTGTCAGAGGCCTGGGAGTGCAGTATCTTTGCTGGTCCTGGAACTGCACCTCTGGACAGAGATCTAGGATATAATTCCTGGATCTGCTGGAGCCACTCGCCCAGTTTGGGGGTCACCCGCCCGAATGCTCCGATTACCACTGGGACCACTGTTGCCATCACCCTCCACATCTTTTTGAGCTTCTTGTGTTCCTTCTTCCTGATCACTCTGTATAGCTGCATCTATCACTACTTTTCCTCTGCTTGTCCACCACTACTATGTTCAGTTATTTAGCCATTACCAGTTTGTCTGTCTGTATCTAGAAGACCTTCAGGATTACAGCTTGACTATATGATGATGATAAAAATCCAGGTATATCTTACACACGCGCACACACCTGTATTTTTATTATTTCATCAGAAACCATTTAACCTGCCTTTCTCTTAATGTCACAGACACAAAGAGCTTAAATTAGGTGGAAATCTCCCTTGAGTCAGAAGGGTTGAAGTGGCCCATCTGCCTGACCCTTACCACTAGCCTACGGGTCGTTTCCCATAAGCGCTGAGCGATGACTGCTGAGAGGATAAAGATATAAGTCACTGTGGAGGGACTCCTTCATCCCCAGGAAGTGGTGACTGCCTACCTCTGGGAGAGTTATGCCCTCTAGGCTACTACCACTGATCTTCCTGTGTCTATCTTATTCTTTCTATCACTCCTCTCTCTCTTCTCACACAGCTCTCCTGTGAGCTTTCTCACAAAAATGAGAACTCAATTAATTCAGGCGAAATGAGGACGAGGGAGGAGGAGGTAGAGGCCTGGGTAGCCCAGAGCGACATTGAATAAGAGAGAGGAAAGCCTAACAGAGCCGTTTGCCGATCTGCGGCCTGGAAACAGCAAACTGAGCATGGGGTGACTGTGCATGTGCGTTAAGTCTTCAGCTGAGTTAATCCTGCGTGCACTTTAAATATGGCTGATGAGCAAATGCTCCTCATTGCTGAGGGAGATGTTGGGTAAATAGACAAGTCACAGGAAGCCAGAGACTGGAAAAAGAGCGCAAACTGAAAGAGCCGAGGACAGAGGCGACATGATTAAAAGCCTGCTGACATTCGGTGCCCAACAAGTTGTCTGTTGTATGAATGTGATGTTAACTTTAATAACGTTGGTAGCAAACACTGTAAACGTGCAGTTCTAAATAGTTGCACTAGATGTTTCAGAAACCTCCAGTCTGTGAAGACTAGGTGAATGGGCTGCATCTATGTCACGTAACGAAGATGTCATGTGACCTATGACCTTGGGATCGAGGGCCTACTGTCAGTGTCACAGATGCAAAGTGCAGCCTTAAAGACATCAATCTTGCATGAGCTTGGTCAACCTGCTTAATGTTACATTAGGGTGCCATGAGCAACCACACAGCTCAGATAATTTTCTCGTAGCCTTGCAGAAAAACTGGCAGAAAACCAGCTCTTAGCCTGGGCTAAGGTTTGAGGTCCCCAGTGGATACACGTAAGAACAGGACACACATAGACACACAGACTGGAACTATATAGAGTTATAAAATACACAACATGAGGAGACAGTACACTACATATGCTAAAAAATAAACCAACACTTGAGTCGCTTTTCTTTTAGTCTAGACTCTTACTTGAAGCACACAACAAAAAACAAAAAGCAAAACAAATAAAAAACAAATGACCCATTTTTACAAAAGTTATGTTCAGTGCAACAGCGTCATAAAAGTAACCGCTTCCCTGTGACAGAGTGTAAATCTCACAGTATTCAGGGATACTTTTATGTTCCATTTTGACTGCAGTACATATATTACAACATTTTATCAGTCCCAGCTCCAGGACAAGGCTAGTAAAACGCGCGAGTCAGACAGTTCCAAATTTTCATATGATAAATACCTTACTAGCGAGAAGCCAGGATGGGCTGTGGCATTTGGTGTTTCCAAGAAAATCAGTATGCCACTAGTACTCGGAGTGATTGAACAGGCTGTAA